ACCAAAATTAAACTTGATCTTTTAACTAAACATGCTCTATATAAAACACTTTGAGCTATTTGAATACTTTGAATAGATGTAGCTTCTATTGTTAAATACCTTTCAATCTCATCATAAACAGTCTTAAAAAAGACACTCTAAATATTTGGAAGTTCCCAGTATAGTAACATATTTTTGTATTCAGAAAATCTCTGATGCTTTGCCTCGCGATCAAGTTTTGTCTGAATAGCTTTGCCCAGATTAACAAGTGTTGTTTTTGCACAAACCTCATTCTTGATAATCCTATTCATACTTTCTACTCATTGGATACTTTGTATTTCAGCACAAAAAGTTGTGAATACATAAATTTTAGCCCACGATTTGCGTGATTTCCAAGCCTGTTGTAAGTAATTTTAACTTGCTGGATATTGAACTAATAATGATTGCCAGTTGTGCTCCAGTTCTATTTCACTATGACTATTATGGTATCTAAACCAGCTTTGCAAAAAACTAGTATATGAGTTACCTAATTTTCGTAATATTTTTTTTGCAATGTGTTGGTTTGTATATGGAAGATACAATGGTTATGCTTAGAGGCAGGAAAAACTTGGCTAATAGCAGAGGCCATAGCTGGATCAGCATCTGTAAAAATTGCTTTTGGTGGTAGATTATCTGTTGCTTTTAAGATACAATTTAAGATCCATGCATAAGTGTTAACAGTTTTGTCTTACACGAGAGACTATGCCACAAGCCTTGTTTGGTTATGATTATCAACAATTACAAAAAGATTTAGAAGCATGTTATATACATTCATTTTAGCTATATTATCATTGACTACTACATCATGATAACACTTCCATAATTCTATTTGTACAGGTGTTGTCCAAAAAAGCCACGAAAAATTGTTATCAATCCCTTCAAGCTCAATATAAATAGCTTATCCAGTCTCTTGTTCCTGTTGCTTTATAAACCAATTTACCATGTCTGCAGTATCATTTTCTCATTAATTACTTATTTGCTTCGTGTACTGATATATAGTATTATACAAATTACAGTTATATAATAGTTGATCAGGAAATTTCTTTAAAATATACTGACGTTGAGCCTTTGCTCCAAGTATACATTCCTGTGTTAAAAACTTTATTGTGTCAAGAACATCTTGCGAAAGTAAATGTAAGCTTGGGGCAAATTCTTTTCTATGTGGTGCAAGAGAATGATTATGTCTTTCAACAAATTTATTAACAACTATAGCATTAATACTTTTTTAATATCCCACATTAAGTTGCTATTAACATCCAACTTTTTTTGACAATTTTTCTTTATGACATGTGATGTCAATATTTTTTTTAGATTGATGTTCTCTTAAATGTTCACAAATAAAATATTGACAGATTATTTTACCATTTTTACTCTCTACTTAATATTTTATTGACTTAAATCTAATTTTCAATTCATATTTTTTTAATAAATTCTCTAAAGATTCCCAGCTCAAATTCAGCACCATTCAAATTACAAGTTCATCTGTTTCATCATTATCATAATCAGATTCGCTATCACTATGTTGATCATTATTTGAACACATAGATGTCTCTGATTGAATACTAGAATTTGAACATATAGGTGTCTCTAATTGAACACTAGGATTAAACTAGTAGTCAGGAAAAATTGTTGATATATCAGGCATCAAAATAAGTATTTATAAGATTAAAAATATAAATGCAATAAAGGGTAAAAAGATTGTTTTAAACACAGAATTTTACTATTTTGTTCAAGCTGTGAAAAGTTTAAAGTAATATTTTAAGTTTCATGTTTTGTCGAAAGAATTTGGGGTTTAACTTTCAGTAAAGGTTTCATTTTTTGGCATTTAATTTCATTATGATCTTGGTTTGCAGATCATTATTGGCTAACTGGGTTTCAATTCAAGATTGTTGTGCCTATATAATAACGTATAAAAAATAACAAGAAAAAAATTTATAATCATAAGAGTTTGTACAATAGTATGATCTCATTTGTACAAATTATACCAAATCATAAAATGCTATAATGTACATAACATGAGATTTGATTTGCTAAAAGTCAGGTGACTTGCATATAGATGTTAATATGTTTGGGCCATAAAATAGCTTGCACTTAGAGAATAAAGAACTTGCATTTATATTATAAGTCCCAACACAGGACCAGACTATTTAATTGCATTTAGAGAGAAGTTGTACTTAGAGGGGTTGCACTTAGAGGGAGTTGACTGTACTAATATTTATTTAGCCTCTTGAAATTCCTGAGCATTTAGATAGGTACCTAGAAGATGAATACAATGCATTACAGGCCTCTCTCGAAACTATTATAAATATGGTAAATCAAGAGAATATTCTTGAGTTCTAGAGGGTGTCTTTATTTGATCAACATATCAATCAATACTCTCACTATATCATTCTATTGGCTGGTAATACTTATCTCTACACATGTCTTTATATTATTTCAAACAGGTTCTTTTGTAGACACTTTTTTGGTGTTTTTAAAATGTTCTGCAATGTCAAGTTTGACATTAAACTTATACCCAAATGTTGGTATGCAGATTCAAAGCAAGTGTTAGATTCCTTATCAATTATAGGCACTACTGTAGAACATGATACAGTTATGGAAATGAACCAGGTGATTTATATTCGTGGGCTAGATGTATATCAACCTAGTATCCATACGAGCATTGTGGAAAAGCAAGAATATGCATGTGGTTTCAATATTGTGAAAAGTGGGCTAAAATTTGCAATTGAAAATAGTTTAGTTGACAAATTTGTAGGATTGATATCAGGATTTATTGAAAACCACACTGGTGTGAATATTAATCAGTAAATGCAAGTTGATATTTCTTAAATAGAAAATCAGCGAATACAAGTTAATACTTCTCAAATAGAAAATCAGCGAATGCAAGTTAATATTTCCCAAATAGAAAATCAGCGAATGCAAGTTGATATTTCTCAAATAGAAAATCTAAAAAAAGCAAAACACAAAGGACGTCCAAAGGGATCAAGTTTTACACAAGAATCTTCAAGATTTAGACGTAGGGACTTCAAGATCCACTAAGTGGGCCAATATAGAAGCAAATGATAACAATGTTAAATCAAAACCAGGGGTTCAGCGTTGTGGTAATTGCCATGATTATACTACTACCTGCAAATTTTTAGAAAATTAAGCATTAAATAATGCGTATATGATGTTACTGTATTAAAACTTCTTGTTATGTAATACATACAAGTTCATATATGCATATTAGAGTGTGAATAGTTGCTATGTATTTACTCAATTGAATTTATATTAGCTTTTGCTTGAATGCGTTGTAGTTAAAATATCAATGTGAACTGATAAGAGAATTAGACTAAAAGCATTTATTTTTATTTGATATTCAAGCATATATATATGCGCTATATGAAAATCAATATTCTAGCAAAAAATTCCTGGAGTTGGCTAATTTTATGTTATTTAGAAACGTGAAAGATTTAAAAATCTCTAAATCCATATTCGCTTATATAGTATAGTTGTATTGGTAAAGTGAAAGAAGCAACATAATGATCTCAGTTATAGGTAACATTTTAGATCAATAGTCCATTCTAATTATTTAAGAAGTGTAACTAAAATTTTTTCTTATATTTCATAGTTTACTTATGCGCATTGTAACTTTTTGATCATGCCATTATTATTATACATATACATACTGGAAATAGATGCCTGATATTACGATTAAGCAGGTTTAAGATTTACTTCCTGACTCGGTTATTTTATATATCTAATATCGTACGTATGTACGGTCGAGAAAATCTAAAAACCTCAATCGCTTTATATAGAATAAAGGTTAACCAACTCATCGAAGAAAAACCAAATTTGTCATTCTCAATAGCATGCTACGTATATATATTGTTTTTTGCTTATTGTTTTATGCCTTTCGCTTATTGTGGTTGATAATTTAGGAAATTTATTTTTGATGTGCTACGTATTAGTTTATGTATTATCTCTACATAGAATATCTGATATTGTGGTTCTTAAATTTCTTGCACCGTACGTCGTATGTACGTCATACGTACATATATACATGTGAACGTTATACTAAATTTTTGATATCACGTATGTATATACGTATGTATACGTACTAATATTGACTAATTCACAAGTGCTCTTTTTTTTATAGTTAGTTACAGATTATATGTAGAGAAAGAGCTTTGGCTTAAATTCATTCTATTATACTTTATTTTACAATTTGATTGGATTAATATATCACGTGACATGCGATATCACAGGTTGCGATAAATATCAACGTCCTAGATTATATTCCGTATATTATCTGTAATTTTCTTTATTATTTTAGTATATATTTTTCCATAGGGTTGCCGCAAAAACTACTTGTCCCAAATCCCAATTTTAATATGTTTGTGATTGGGATTTTGGGAGTTTATAGTTTGGGCGACATGTATACAACGCTGCTTCGCTGCTTTGCGCAAACATAGAGTAGCGAAAGAGTCTAGCGCAATACTGTAGTTGATATGAATTCAAAATGTATTTAAAACCTGAGTTTTTGCGTTAATAAAGCTTTCTTAGACTTCGATGTCTTTAATGAGTTAGAAATAAGAATCGAATTCTCATTTGAATAGATATATTTTCGTGAATGTTATTGTGTTACCACGAATTAACCGTCCTAACTTAACTCTTATCTATTAACACCATTATTATCTTACCATAACTGTTACCCAGAATATCAACCTACATTACACTATTATTACCCGCCTTGCATACCCTTAAAGTACTTACATCACATATTGCATTCCTTAAACTGACACTTAAAATCGATCGTATAACCCCGATTCGGTCTGATAGAATAAATACCCCGATCCTGATCTACATAATTCGTGACCTCACGCCACGTGCTTATATTAGAGCGAAAGATATTTATAACCTTTCATGCTTACTATTGGAGCTAAATCGAACCTTATATTTCATTTGCTCTCCTAAACAATAGTAACAACACACTTGTAATACTATAGCGAGTAACTAGAAATCACGTTCATGCCGATACAAAACTATCATATCTATGTTTAAATCACTTGTATTACTTTAGCGAGTAAGTCAGTAACTTAAAAATCATGTTCATTTCAATACAAAACCAATCTAAATTACTTTTATTACCACAATAGTCGGTAAGAGTTTTTTTACAATAAAAATCAATACAAAATTATTATTAGCTATTTTTTTTACAATTGTAGCTCTTGATTATTATATACTGTATTAATTATGTTAGGCCACGCAAAGTTAATTTTTCGTTTTGCATAACCCGCCGACCCAATTTTTCAAAAAAACTTTTTTTTTTTTTTAA